TTCAAGAACCAAACGGGTAGAGACGATTTTCAAGAGTCATTTTCTTCCCCAAAGTGTTGGTAAGTGATTCTAAACCATTTTGTTTCAATTACCCATTACATTCCTTGAATTATCAACCAAAAATCTAGAGTTTACATGGAGTTAGGGTAGAAATTAGAAATTTCTGAAATTTGAGGATTTAAACACCAATTTGAGATCGGATTCTAAAACTAATTACATATTCGGGCTCGGGGGTGAATGGGTAAAAGGATTTTGGTCTGAACCTCGAGTTTTGACCAAGTGGGCCCGGGGTCAATTTTTTGACTTTTTGGAGGAAAATTTGGGAAATTTATTTTATGAAATATAATTGATTCCATCAGAAATATTTGATATTATTGAGTCATTTTTGAATAGATACGAGTGGTTTGGAGGTGAATTCCAAAGGAAAAGCTGTGATTGAGAATTAAGTAGCCTTCAAAGCAAGGTAAGTATCGTGTCTAACTTTGGCTCGAGGGAATAGGTATTATGTGTACATTTGCTACGTGTTTGGTTGTTAAATACGACGTATAGGTGAGGTGACGAGCATCTATGCGTCGTTGTTGAGTCATAGCATGCGAGTGAAATTCTATTCTTGTCTATCTTGTAGCCTTAAATTCTACTATCCATGCTTAGCGAGTTATTTGAAATGTTGGGTGACTCATATCTGGTTTCACTGAGATTTGGTAACTTTCGAATATTGATTCAAGGTTGAGATTACATTGTGCTATTGATTATGGGTAAAATACTGATTTCTTTGGGATACTCTTATCTATTCGTTGTTATTGATTCTGTGATTGGTGAGGAGGAGTGTAAAGCACGAAGGGTGATACCGTGCATGCATTATTTATATTGTGAGGAAGAATGTAAAGCACGAAGGATGATGCCGTGTATATTATGAGAGGTTTAAAGCACGAAGGGTGATGTCCTGTATATTATGAGAGGTTTAATGTACGGAGGGTGATGTTGTGCCGTTCTATTTATTGATTTGGTGATGTTGAGAGTAAAAGCACGAAGGGTGATGCCGTGCAATTTTTCTTGTTGTTTTAATTGCTCAATTCGTTTAAGGATTTTCGGTTTAATTCTATCTTTTCATTATTCTCACTCTTTATATTGTATTCCTCCACTGTATGTTCCCTTCCCATTATTTCTATGTTATTTCTTTATTTACTGTTGTTGCCACTAGCATGATTGTATTGTTTAGGTTATATGTGGGTGTCTTGTCCTAGCCTAGTCACTATTTCGCGAGGTTAGGCTCGACACTTACCATTACATGGGGTCGGTTGTACTGATGCTGCACTCTGCACTTTCTGTGCAGATTTTGATATCGGCTCAGGTTGATCGAGATTTGCTATTGATCCGCTGTCCGAAGACTCAAGGTAGATCTGTCGGCGTTCACAGACCTTGAAGTCCCCGTCTATCTTTTATGTCCTACTGTTTTCTTTCATTCAGACAGTTGTATTTCTTTCAAACTATTACTTGTAATAAATTCTAGAATGCTCGTGAATTATGACTCCAAATCCCGAAGGTAGTAATTAATACTGTTTTATAATATTTTGTACTTATTATATTTTATCTTAGTTAATTATTATTATTTACTGAATGGAAATAAGGAATTAGTTTAACGATTTTCTAATATTGGCTTGCCTGGCAAGTGAAATGTTAGGCGCCATCACGATCCCGTCGGTGGAAAATTTTGGGTCGTAACAATTTTATTTTTGACCCTTAGGTTTTCCTTGGTAGCCTTCACTTCTGTAAGATGAATATTTTTATTTTTAGTTCTTCGTACAACAGAGTTGAGCGGTTTAATTTTGATTAAAAATATTGTCCAACTTGCATGACATTCTAATGAGAATTCTTCAACTTTTGAACATAATTAAGGACTGTGCATTATAAAAATATTGCTCAAAAATCCCGGTATGCATATATGATTATGTACAAATTTCTATATATTTGAGCTGCTTCTCCGTGGGCCTCAAAATGTACGTCCACGGCATAAATTAACATTTCAAAAACTACAATAGGATAATAGTATGCTAAAATTTATGTCTACAGAACTCCAAAGTCAGGATGCTGCATAGACCATACAATTTTTATATTACTTCTTTCTGGTTTTATCATAACCAAATAACCAGTAGCACCAAACCTTCATGTCCATCGCTTGAAATCTCTATGAAGCATCATGATTGACATGGCTTCGTATGCATTGCTGGTATTTAGCTTCTTATCTGAGAATATATATTATATAAATATCGATCTTTAATGTTGAAGCAAGGACATGATTATTAAACCAAATTAAAATGAGAATGGGACATTATTAGATAGTTACTGTCTCTTTTTCTCTCCAAACATGATTCTATTATGTGACATTATTTGATAGCTACTGTATGCTTTTCTCTATAAACTTGTTGTCCTTCTCTTATATTTCTTCTCCTCTAGGTACAAAGTTGCTTTTAAATATTTCGTCTAGCCAGTCTTCTTTCTGGGTTACTTGATGGAGAAATTTATCAACTAAGCCACCTAGAAAAAAAATTATCTTTGTTTTGCTCTTTTTTTAACAGTTTCTTTACACTTTGTTTGACGTGGGTTTTTTATAGTCGTGTGACCACTTTTTCAGTATCATAGATTTCTCGTTTGTAAGGACTGAATATATTCTCGCTCTCTTCATGATGCAGGAAGCCCCTCTGAAAAGCTTATGACGTAACCCTCAAGGACAGTCTGACAGTAGATATACTTTAAAGGTAACGCAGCCTTTGAATCGTCAAACTTGCAACCATAGAGAGACCCCGGCTTGTACACACAAAATTGATGAACACCACAAAGTCTTATATTAGATTGAGGTAACAAATATCACATAAATTTGAATGTGTCTACATATATCATTTTGTGAGATATCTTTTTGAATGTAACCTGAATAAAGGAAAATTGTCGCTGCTCGAATTTCCTATGCTGAAAATATTTGTTATTTCAGTTCTTTCTTTTGTTAAGTCATAGAAATTATGTCAAATAAGTTGAGATCCCAAGTAACTTATTGTTGTTTAAGGGGTTCAATGTGTTTGCCGTGTAAACAATCATAACTCCAACTGTCAGTACAATAGGATTTTCTGTGAAAATATAATTTACGTTATCTCTGATGTCTACATATGTTAGTTGGTTGTTTCCTGCTGTTATTTGCTTTTTTGCTACTGCTACCACAGTTTTCTCATTTATATTCTTCTGATGTATTTCAGCTGATTCAGGATTATCTTCATGGTTCATTATTAAGCTACATTAGACGGACAAACCATATGAAAGGAAATTGTTCACTTCTTTACCCGAGGAAATAGTTGTCAGGGAAGTCCTATATATTTTTAGAGTCATTCGATGTCTTTTCTTACTATTATTGCAAATTCATCTTTGCTGCATTTGACCCAGAACCTGTGAAGGTCTGGCTAGCAAACGAACTGGCTTTTCCAGCATCGACTGCTGCCAATCATGGAATCGACCTCCATCAGCAAATAAAAGCTCCCACTGAAGGGAAAATATCAAGTTTGTACGCTTCAGATTAGCTTCGCTTCATTATGTTTGTTTTCCTTTATCGGAAAAAACATGAAATATTAATTTATTACCTAAAATATTCATCTAGCTCAACATCCTTGCTTGCTTTCACAAGGTTATCATTGTCCTTTCTGTTATTTCGGCCGCACTTTGTACTAAACATGGGAACCACAATTAGTGAACTCCATATTACGCTACTCTATAAAACTAAATAGGAGACTTTAATAAAATAAAATTATTATAACTTATTTTAACTGAATTATCTGGATACACTATTATATCTATTGTCTTGGTTAAAAGTAGGTTAACTTGTTATTAACTTTACTCAAAAATTTTAGTTGAGAACCCGTTAAAAGTAAATTAAATTTGCTAACGTCTAAACAATTTAACTTATAAAAGTACCATTGATCTACTATTCTGACGGGAAAAATTCAGACATGACAAAAGTTAAGAAGAAAAAACCTGTCAAACTGTTTCATTTTAAAAATCTAAAGAAAACTTTCTAATTTTCGGAAGCGCTTTCATAGTAAAAACACAAAAAATTTACAAAATTATATTTGTACCCTTAGAAAGGTCATGAAAAAAAATTCAATACTTTTTGTGTGAATGACTTCTTTCCAAATGTAATAAAAATACATTGGGGGTGAAGAATAAATAAAATCAAGTATCAATTATTGTAATTGATTTAATTGAATTGCAGTTGAACCCATGTAATTCAAATAGCGAAAAAAATTAATCATCATTACGCGCTCTCTGTTAATTCGTTTACATATCCATTTATAAAATATCAATAAATCTATTTGGTTTACATGTTCAAACCATCATATTTACTGCTCATTTAATTTTTGTGATATTGAAAAAAATAACTATTTTTACATTGACTGCAAAATCAAATGCAAGTAGTAAAATCAAGGGGTTGAATTGATATAAATATTAAAAAAGAAAACATATTATCTATTTCGAGATTTGAAAAATTATTTCATGTCGTGCTTATTAATTAATATCTACTGATATATAATTTTATTTGAAAAATATATATATTTGAGTTGTTTCTACATAATTCAAATAACCCAAATCACAACTCGAAGAATAATATGCAACTCAATGTTTGGACCCAGGCGCAATAAAAGGAAACAATTTGACTAGCCAAAAGAAAATCTTTCAGTAGTTCCTTCATAAATATTTTACTGCCTTCACTGTACCCTTATGTTTTTACTGCGTTATGTAACCAGCTTTTGATTTGCATCAACAGTTACCTATATATATTATAATATGATGTAATGCCACCATCGGATGATTTAATTATTCATTATGGTTTCTTAATGCACTAACTACAGTGACACCTCAGTCATTTGAAGCTAAATTTTAGTTTACACCTACAAATCAAGACCAACACGTGTAAATTTTGTTGATACTTGTACACGGCGTGGCGTTATTTTCTTCAACAATGACATCACATAGTTGGACTCTCTAAATAATCTTCTGCTTCCCTTCTTCCTTCACTATATTTCACTTTTCGTCTACACTGTAATTATTCATGTGTTTTTCTTTTACAAGGTTGAACTTTATTTCACCGTTCGATTTTATCACTTGAAATTAGAGAAAAAAACCAAGAACAAGCGGGAATCACGATTACCATCAGGATATATGCGGGAAGTAACATAGAAAAGGGAGAACTAACTCCTTTTCAGGTTGCCAGAAGATTATGTTACTGCTGTTTTCAGGTATTTTATTTCATAATTATCTTGCAATTTCCGGTAATTTGTTTGGAATTTTCATTTTGATCTCCGTTTTCTGTCGGGTTTCCTTGTTCTCATTCTGTGTTTTTCTGTTTCATTTATCTGCTATTTTCTGATGGGTTTCCTTGTTCTCATCTTGTATTTTTCTGTTTCATTTACCTCTGTAAGTGTTTGAGAAAATTCTTCAACGAATCAGGCCTTCGATTAGACTTTTATTATTATGTTTTGGTTAATTTGTTACTTCCCATAGGAAGGAGGGGCTGCTAATTTGAGTCTAGGTACATCATAGGCGGTGACGATTCGAATTCCGCTAATTGGTTTTCATACGTGTTGGATTTTTGCTATTAAGAATTCATTTTCATGGTTCTTCGATGAACTCTTTCACCCAAGAAGAATCTGGAGTGATTTAAGTTTTTTTTGGATCTTCTAATTTTTTCCAAAATAAAAATGTGTAAACAATTCAAATTAGAAAGGAGCTTTACTCTATTCGACAATAGTAATTTTGTAAAACCATTCAAAATATAGATGTATCCAAAATAATTATACGTAATAATTATCATTAGGACAAGAATTTCACGGGACATATAACGGGATTAGTGACTACATGTCCAGTCGAATTAACTAAACTATTATATGATAATATTTTGATATTTATACTTAATTAGGTGTATTTGGTATGACCAAAATTATTTTTATTGAGAAGACTCGTGGGAAATATCATAATTGACTAAAATTTATTCTCGATTAAATAATATCACCTATATGGATTTTTTTACACCAAAGCACCCTATTTTTTATATTTATGTTCAAACATGAGATTACCCAACATAACTTTCCGAAAGAATAAACCATCCAAACTAAATCGACAAGCTATGAGCTCAACGGAGCACATAATTACCCCTACCGTCATGCCTAACATTGAGTTGTTTCAATTGTTTATTTCATATAATTCCCCAGGCTCAATTACTTTGTCCTACATTTTCATTCTTCACAGGTTGCAAGATACTCAAAAGATGGAGCATCGATATACCATCCATGAAATCACGCCATTTACTAGAGATTGGACTTGTAAAATACAAGTTGTTGACAAAATCCGCCCAAAAATTAGTAGAGATCACCGAGTGAACTTTCAAACAACTATCGTCCAGGACGAAAACGTAAGTTCACAAATATCTCAAGTACATAGTAAAGCTTCTACCATATATATAAACACTTTCTCCATCTTAGATGTTAACAAATTGCAGGAAGAGCAAATCTGCATCATAACATATGGTCCTGAAGTCGTACATTATGATAACCTTTTCAAACATTTCCACACATACCTCATCTCGGCAGCTAAAGTTAGGGAACCGTCACGTTTTGCAATACCCATGCACAACTTCGAATGGGTCCTCGATACCTTTAGTATTGTCGAAGAAGTTATAGAGAACAATGAAGAAGAATCAATGTTACCGTTGCCTTCAAGATTAAACATGGTGTCCTTTGCCGATATCGAGAAACAGATTCCAGGAGATGAATTCGGTAAAAAACTACGAAATTATACTATTTTATTTTCCGCTGTAAAAATATTTGTGCTTCTTCATTATCAAATTTAAATAACTGCATCCTACTTTTATACACGCATGCTTTTCTAAAGCAGACCTGGTGGCAGTTGTGGCAAATTGCAGTACCATGAAATATCAAGGCAACGAAAACATAAGATTTTAAGAGGTTATTCTTATAGACGACAAGTAATTAATACAGACTTTAATTACCTCTAACAACAAAATATGTATTTAACACTGCATCCTTAATTTCATAGGAAAAGGCCTTTTCTGTTTACTATATGGAGAGAATTGGCTGACAAAGATGAAACTGAACTACTGCAGCAGCTACATAGATATCCTGTCATTGTTGCAAAATGAATAGCTGTTTCTAACTTTAAACAAGGTATTCCCAACTTACTTTACATCACACATGAACATTAATGTTTACCTTTATTCATTAACAAGTATATGACATGTAGAGGTCCGACTAACTACAAGGTTCAACTCCTCAATCTTAATCGATCCTTTGTACCCGCAGGCAGCAAAGTTAATAAATTGGTATGAAACAGGTTTTATTTGCACACGAATATATTCCATTGTTTCATACCATATTACACCAAAATGAAATCACAATATCTACTATTACATCGCAGGGCAAAGGACAACAAGCAGATGCTAATTGAATACACTCTCAAAAGTACATCAGCATCACCTTCGACACTAAATATTGCACCTTTTGAAGATCAAATACTTTCTATTTCAAGCATTCCTTCACAGTCCACTGTGAGTATATTAAAACATATCAGTAGGACTTGGCATTGATTATTCTTTTCCTTCTATATCGTATTAAAAATACCCTTTAGCGAGTTATTCTACGTTGTAATTACTAAGTAGTATCTTTTTATTATTTTCTAAACAGGCGCAAAGTTTTTATGTTGAAGGAGAAATATCATTACCAAGTGAATTCCAGTTTTTCTTCGTACTTCTATACTCTGAATGCCAACATCTAACACGAATCAAACGCAAAAAGAAAGTTCTCTGTATCAACTGCAAGCTAGAGAGAATGTTGATTCCAAGGTAATAACAGCTCTTACTATTGACATACTATGACAAACAATATCTAACGGCTAAAACTTTATGATTACACAAACACAACAATGTATATGTGAATTTGAAGTTGATGTCACAGACAGGAGCGGAACAATAACAACAGTAGTGTCAGACAAACTAGCTGAAACAATGCTTTCACTGACAGGAGACCAAATATATGAAACTATCATTATCCATGTGCATATACTGACAACTCTAGAATCATTTTGCGTTACTTCAAATTAATTTAAAGTCTTCACTTTACTCATTTTGTGGTAAACTTTTTCCCAAAGAAACAATTGTTACCCGTTGAGCATATCAGAGAGCACCTGCTAGACAAGCTGTTCAAAATTTATTTACAAAAATTACTACTCAGAACACCAGATAGGCCACCTGGTACCTTTGTCATTTTATCTTACACTCAAAAACAGACTGTCTTCGACTTGGCACAATCTTCAACATCAACTACTGTTGGCGAGGGAAGTAAAAGGAAGGTACAATCCATCACTTCTGAAGAAGCAGATCGTAGTCCATTGACAGAAGATGAAAACCCAAGAAAAAAACCAAACGTACAATGACCAAGTCCTCTGCAAAAATACTCAAGGTTAGAAATTAATACTTGATAGACCATAACAAAATCAAAGAAAATGCAGCTAATAAACAACCGCAAACACAAACAGTAAGTTTATATATAATAAAAGTTTTGTCGGGTAGAAAGTGAACAACATTGTTTGTCCATCCAAGCATGCAATCTAACTCTTTGTTAAATGATTTAGCAAGATGACATTTCCAAATCTCAAAAGAATTTCTGTTGTTTGCTTGTACGCCACTTAATGAACAATAACATTTATTGCTCCCAATTTTCGTCCATTAAACTGCTTATTTTATTCCCATTTTGTGTAAATAGCTACACAAATTTTCATGAACTGTTTATTGTTACCTATGCAAACTAACTCTTTGAATAATCTTGTAAACCCGAATAGCTCCCATTATATACACATTTATATTTTCGTCATACCTCCAAAACTTCAAAGCGTTTCATCAGAACTCTAATCCAACAGTGAAAAAGGCAAATCTCAAAAAGTTTTTTTGTTGTCTGCTTTAGTCTACTTAATGAACAATTACATTTATTGCTCTCAATTTCTGTCCATTAAAAAGCTTATTTTATGTCAAAATAGACTTATGAATTTTGCTCATACGGTAAAGCCTATGTTGCTATGCAAAATAAAATCTGTGTCCAATGTCTTCACAGTTCTTTGTCCAAATTACATATTCTCAACTACTCTTTTACACTTAACTCCCAATTTGTTTTTCATACATGTGCCTCATCAGATTTGAAGTGCAACAAAGGTCGCCTTAATGTTATTTGATAGGCTATAGCAGTTGTAATACTTGCATTCAAGCAAGATTTTTGTTGTGTTGTCTACTGCAGTACAATATTTCACATTTTCTATAAATAGCTACGCAAACTGACTCTTACCAACACAAATTTTGCTGGTGTTGTTTATTGCAGTACAATATTCCACATTTTGTATTTGAATTATCTGGTAAATCCAAGCAGCTCCCATTATATATGCATTTATATTTTCAACAGTTTACTGTTAGCTACGGAAACTAACTCTTTGAATTATCTGGTAAATCCAAGCAGCTCCCATTATATATACATTTATGTTTTCAGTCATACCTCCAAAATATTAAAGTGTTTCATCGTAACTCTAATCCAACAGTGAAACCATAGCCGAATACCTATACAAAATAATATGCAACCTTAGCTTAGTACTAACAAATTTACTCTGAAAAAGAAAAAATTACTACTGTGATGACCCAAAATGTCATCTTTAAATTTAATAAGTAATTCTATATTTTGAGATCTCGAAAAGTACCATTTATCATTCTTCGACTTGCGTGCGCAGTCCGTACAATTTTTCGAAAAGTTTTATGTGAAAAATGGATTAAAATATGAAATAGAGCTTTAAAAACTCAACTGAGTTGACTTTAGTCAACATTTTGAGCAAACGGACCCAGATCAGTATTTTAACAATTTTGGTAGGTCCATATCATGATCTGGGACTTGGGCGCATGTCCGGAATCGAATTCTGAGGTCCCTAGCTCGAGATATGGAATTTAAAAAAAAATTAAAAGCTTGAAAGCTTAATAATTTTTAAGAAATTTCTGATGTTGGATTTATTGACCTCGGGTCCGTATTTTGGTTCCGGAGTCTGGTGTAGGTCCACTATAATATTTATGACTTGTCTGCCGAATTTGGTGAGAATCAAAGTTGACTTGGCGTGAGTCGGACGTCCGGTTGTAAAAATATAAGTTTTAAAGTTTTCTTGGAAGATATTTTAGGAATTGGGTTCATGTTTGGTTTGGAGCCCCGAGGGCTCGGGTGGGTTTCGGGTGGTTAACGGATCATTTTTAAACTTGGGAAAAACTGCAGAAATCTTCTTCTGGTATCCTTCTTCGCGTTCGCGAGAGGGGGCTCGCATTCGCGAAGAAGAAACTAGAGGCAGATGAAAATTACTCTTCGCGTTCGCGAAGGCTTGAGGTGCGAAGCTTCGCGTTCGCGATCTAAGCCTCGCGTTCGCGAAGGGAAAGAGGCTAGCCAGGAAAATTAGTATTCATGTTCGCGGAGGCCAAGCCAGGCAAGCATCACGTTCACGAGGTAGCCCTCGCGTTTGCGAAGAGTAAAATTGGACAGCACAAATTTGTGCTTCGCGAACGCGAGGCACTGACCGCGTTCGATCCATTTTCAACTCTTTTCCATTTTTGAGCTCGGGTAAGGCGATTTTTGGGTGATTTTTACGGAAAAATATTGGGGTAAGTGTTGCTTATCCTATATTGATTATATTTCATGATTTCATACTCATTTATATCATGAATCCGTGAATTTATGCAAGAAAAATTAGATTTTTATAAAATCTTCCAAAAATAAAAATTTAAGATTTGAAGGTCCATTTGACATCGGAATTGAATAATTTTTATATGCTTGGACTCGTCTCGGAATGGATATTTGAATTTCGTAAGTTTTTCTGGGATTTGATATGTGGGTCCCACTGCCGAATATTTTAATGAACTTCGGATTTTTATCCGGAAAAATTGTAAATTCATATGGAATTAATTCCTATGATTCGTATTGAGTATATCGAATTGTTTGTGAATAGATTTGAAGCTTTTGGAGACAAATTTAAAAGAAAAAGTTGTGGTCGAGTAATTGATTGGAATTTGCAAAGCGAGATAAGTGTCGTGGTTAACTTTAACTTGAGGGAATAGAGCCCTTAAATTATTTGTTATGTGAATTTCATGTGAACGACGTATAGGCGAGGTGACGAGTGTCTATACGTTGTCAAATTAATTGTTTGCCTGTTTACTTGAAAGATCATAAATTATTTTAAATTATGAATTAATTATTATAATAATTATTTCTCTCCTATTCTTTGTCAAATATTAATTCTTGAATTCCTGCATTAATTATTACATGCTATTTGAATTATGTACCTTAATTGGTATTTGACATTTAGCATATTAACTATTAAACTGCATATTTTCTCTTTGATTTCCATAATAATTTGTTAATTGCCTTTATTTATTTTATAATTAAATCATAATTATTGTATGCTTGTTATCTTATAATTTTATATTAATTGTTGCATTTATTGGGGAAATTTCTTCTATAAGAATTGATAAATGAATATGTTGGAGGAGCGGGTTGCACGCCGCAACAAAATTGATTATAATAAATATATTGGAGGATCGGGTTGCACGCCGCAATAGACTTATTAAAAGTCTATATTGGAGGATCGGGTTGCACGCCGCAACAGACTTATTAAAATGAATATATTGGAGGAGCGGGTTGCACGCCGCAACAAAATTGAATGTGAATACATTGTGAGAGCAGTTTGCACGTTGCAACAGAATTGAATGTGAATATATTGTGAGAGCGGGTTGCACGCTGCAATAGAATTGATGAAAATGACAATTGGTTATGACTGGTGAATTGGCTTCAATTATTATAAATGAATTACCTGATTTATTTTTTATTATTATTGTTGTTACTAATATTGCGTGCAGGTAATGTAAGTGACCCGCCTTAGCCTCGTCACTATTTCGTCGAGGTTAGGCTCAGCACTTACCAGTACATGGCGTCGGTTGTACTGATACTACACTCTACACTTCTTGTGCAGATTTTGGAGTTGGTCCCAGTGGCGTACCATAGACTTGCTTGGATTTCAGCTACTCAGAGGAGACTTGAGGTATAACTGCACGGCATTCGCAGTTCTGAAGTCCCCGTCTATATTACTTTAGCTGTGTGTTTATTTTCAGATAGTTTTATTTTATTTCAGACCTTTATTTGTATAATTCTAGAAGCTCATACACTTGTGACACCAATTCTGGGATGGTATTTAGACATCGTTATTTTTATGGATTATTCACTATATTTCAGACGTTACTTCTGCAATTGTTCTCTGTTATTAATAAATTTAAAAGTTGTTTTAAAAATGGATAATATTATTCTAACGTTGGCTTGCCTAGCAAGTGAAATGTTAGGCGCCATCACGATCCGAAGGTGGGAATTTTGGGTTGTGACAGTTGGTATCAGAGCACTAGGTTACATAGGTCTCACGAGTCACGAGCAAGCTTAGTAGAGTTTGAAGGATCGGTACGGAGACGTCTATACTTATCTATTAGAGGCTATGAGGTTTAGGAACTATATCACTTCTTTCTTATTCTGTCGTGCAATTTTATTCTATCATCGATGATTGAACTATTCTACTCTTATTCTCTCGCAGATGGTGAGAACACGTAATACCTCTACCGATGGTCAGGGACCAGAACCCCCGGCGGCAACTATGGCCAGGGGTAGAGGTCGAGGTCGTGCTAGAGGCCGAGGCAGAGGCCGAGGCCGAGGTAGAGCTCAGTCGAGAGCTCGAGCAGTTGCACCTGTTGAAGAACCTCAGGTGGACCTTCAGGAGGATGTTCCAGTTCAGAATGTACCAGTTGGGCCAGTTCAGGTCCCGGAAGGATTCATAGCCACTCTAGTACTTCAGGACGCTTTAGTCCATTTGGTAAGTCTTATGGAGGGCGTGGCCCAGAATGGTACATTTCCAGTGGCACCAATCGCCTCACAGGCTGGGGGAGGAGCATAAACTCCCACTACTCCCGCTCCGGAGCAGATGGCTCCCCAGAATCAGGCTCCAGCTGCCCCGCTAGTTGGGGTAGTTCAACCAGTTATTGCGGCACAGATCGGTGATAGGCCCGCCATGTCTTTTGAGGCCTTATTGAGACTGGATAAGTTTACCAAGCTCTTTGCAGTTCACTTCAATGGTACACTTTCTGAGGACCTACAGGATTATCTTGAACGTTGCCATGAGGTGCTGCGGAACATGGGTATAGTTGAGACCAATGGGGTTGATTTTGCTGTATTTCAGATGACGGGTTCTGCCAAGAGGTGGTGGAGAGATTATACATTGACCCGACCAGTCAGATCACCTGTACTTACATGGGAGAAGTTCTCTCAGCTATTTCTGGAAAAGTTCCTCCCTATCACACTGAGAGAGGAATTTCGCAAGCAATTTGAGCATCTACGGCAGGGTAGTATGAGTCCCGTTTTATGGATTTGGCCCGCCATGCTCTCCATTTACTACCTACGGAGGGATAGAGAGTGAGGAGGTTTATTGAGGGACTCACTCACCCTATCAGACTTCAGATGGCCAAGGAGACCGGAAGTGAGATTTCTTTTCAGGTAGCTGCTAATGTCGCAAGGAGGATCGAGATGGTTCTTGTACAGGAGAGAGGGCAGAGGTCCGATAAGAGGCCTCATCAGTTCGGTGGTTTCAGTGGTGCCTCGTCTGGGGACAGAGGTAATTTTGGTAGGGGTCATCCTCCCAGACCGTTTCATTCAGCACTTCATGTATCTCCCGGTGCTTCAGGGAGTCACGGTCCTATTATGCCTTACTCTGGATAGCCAACATTCAGTGCACATTCAGCTCCTATCAGTGCATCACTACTCCAGAGTTACTACAGCGGTTATCCGGCCCATTTGGGTCAGCTTCAGCTTCAGCAGCCATGGCATCAGGATGGGTGTTATGAGTGTGGGAACATTGGTCACATCAGGAGGTATTGCCCTAGAATGGCGAGTAACAGATCTCAGCAAGATTCTCGTGCCATCATACCAGCACTGGTTGCTTCGCTGCTTGCTCAACCAGCTAGAGGTAGGGGTCAGGCATATAGAGGTGGAGGTCAGGCTATTAGAGGTGGAGGTCAGGCTATTAGAGATGGAGGTCAGACCGTTAGAGGTAGAGGCCAGCTAGTCAGAGGCCGTCCCAGGGACACAGTTCAGAGTGGTGAGGCCCATCCCCGATTTTATGCTTTTCCAGCTAGGCCTAAGGCTGAGTCATCTGATGCTGTAATCACAGGTATTATTCCAGTTTGCCATAGAGATGCTTCAGTTCTATTTGATCCAGGATCTACTTATTCCTATGTGTCCTTCTATTTTGTCTCATATTTGGTTGTGCCTTGTGATTCTCTGAGTACTTCTGTCTGTATATCTACACCGGTGGGAGACTCTGTTGTAGTAGATCATGTCTATCATTCGTGTGTGGTTACTATTGGTAATCTTGAGACTAGTGTGGATCTTCTACTTCTTGATATGGTAGATTTTGATGTCATCTTGGGTATGGATTG